GTAAATAAATCTTATTTTACTAAATTATATGAAATACCAATTAAAATTAATTTAATTTAAATATAATAAACCAACATTTTATTATGATCTTGCGTCACCTCATCTTCATTATCAGGCGCCGCCTTCACAATCCCATCTTCACGGCTTCATCCCCTCTTATCTTCCCCCCGCACATCAACTATTCTCGTCGGGCTGAAGCTAAGCTGATCTTGGCGGTTTACCAAGGCGGTGAAATAGTCCAGGAGAGTGAGACCGATATCGATTTCACTCATGTAAAGCACGCCGGCCTTTGTCGCGCCTCATGAAGACGTAGTCGTGGTTGAGGGCGAGCATCAAGCTGGCGGCAACGGCGTGGCCTGCACGGCGGCGATGGTGGGCATTGGGAGGGAGAGGAACGCGCCGACCATTAGTTTCAAGGATTCGACCATGTGGTGTAGGCGTTTTGCGGCCCCTTCCTTGGATCCGGCAGCTTGGGCCCAGGCGAGTTCGAAGCCGTTGGAGAAGAATTTTCCCTGGGAGATGGTGATTAGGACGGAGCCTCGGGTGACTTGGGCTTTGACCTGGGAGCGAGTCGATAGGATGGTGGCGATTAAGGTGGGGTCGAGGCGGTGCTCCTCGTCGCCAGTGAGGGTTAGGATGAAAAGGTTGCCACACTTCTCTAGGGTGCAGATTGTTGGATGAAATGGTAGATCTCGGTGGGCTGAATGGTAAGTACTTATTTTCCTGCTTGTATGCCAACAAAAAAAACAAATGAAAGTATGGCATCTTTGCAACCAAAAAAAAGAAAGTATGGGGTCCAAGTAAGCAGGGAGCCAAAGTGGACAAAGTGGTCTCCATTCTTGCATAGGTGGCAGCACATGTGGAAAAAATAGAACAAATGGGTTGGATTTAACTGTTGACCGTTTTAGGACTTAACGGTTAAAAGTGACGGTAACATGAACGGCGTCAGGGAAGGGATGACAATGAACCAAAAAAGAGGAGTAGAGGGACGAGGTTTGGCTCTTTGGTAGAGTATAGGGATGACAACGAACAAATTCTTAGTAGAGGGACAAGAACGAATAAAATATGAAAGTAGAGGGACGAGAGTTGGCTTTAAACCCATTTAAAGGGGTTGGTGAGTTATAACTAGGCACGACACGATGACTGTTTTGCCCTTGCTTATTCCTTACGACTTCACGAGATCCGGCTGTGGTTATGGCCTGTTTGGTTTGTGAGATGAAACTTTGTTTTCCTAGGGCGTTTTTTTTTTTTCTTTTTTTTTCTTTGAGTTGGGAGAAACTTGGGGGTAGAGGATTGGGGATGAAGGAATGAGTGCGGTTTGAATAAGAATTTTAATATTCTAAACACCACCCCTCTTAGGGGATAACTAATAGACTAATCAGTAATGGACTCCGGATTTTACACCCTGTTTGGATTGAGGGAGACTAATGGAGAGGGATGGGGAGTGAAGGGGACGGATGGTAATTGAGGGAGAGGGAGGGGAGGCTGTCTCCTTCCTTATGTTTGGATATGCAAAGAGCAAGAAGGGGAAGGAGATGGAGGAGGTTTGGATCCCCTCAACAACCCCTTGCAACTGCAGATTTCCAATCCCCCCAATTTGGGGGGTTTGGGATGGATTTGGCGAAGGTTAATATTTTGCCAACAAAAATTACCATAATATCCTCTTTACCCATATTATTTAACACCTTCTGGTTCTTCTTCCACCTTAGTTATCAGTATCAGCAGCCAGTATTCAAGGTAAGGATATATCTGCTCAACGTCAATTTTGATTATTTTTGAGCTTTCACCATTCTCTCACCGGCTTCGACCATTTTTAATTTACAGTATATGAAGTTGAATTAGAAAATGGAATTGCTAGCATTCTAGCTCACCGGTTGCTCTCGCTCTCTCTTTTGAAAACGAAAACAAGGAATTATAAGAATTTGATTCACATGTATTTATCTCATTTTTGTTTCCTGTTTTTGATTATGTTTCCCTTTAATTTCTTCTATGATAGTTGATTAGAAAATGCTATTTTGTTTCATATTCACCGTTTAACTCTGTGATCCTTCCATTAGAGGTTTGTTTTGTTTTCTATGTGATGGGATTGTGTTTTGGCTCCACAGTATTCTATACAACTAAATCTTTCCAATGCACACCTATTGTTTGATGAAATGCATGAGTGAACTGGGTGCTTAGGGAGAGAAAAGAAAATGATGAAATTGTCATTTTGTCTATGTCGGCAATTTAGCAGCTTTTGAAATTGCACAATTAGGACTATGTTTTGCTTGATTTATTTGGAAATCAAGGTTTTTTTTTTTTTTACCATACTTAATGTTTCTGAAAAAATATCATAAATAAATATCATCATAAACCATTAATCAAGCAAAACCAAAATACATTGATTTTTTTTTTTGGAACAATAAAAAATAATATTTGTTGAAATACGGAGTATAAGGGTACCCCAAACCCATAAACATCCCAACTTGAAGACATGAATTTACATAGTTGAATAGTCATTTCGTTTGGTGTCAACACCAAAATTATGTGTCAACACCACGTCCGTGTCGGGCTTGTGAATGCTTACCGTATGGTGTCGACACCAAAATTATGTGTCGACACCACACCCGTGTTGGGTTTCTTTTGCAATTTCTTCATATCTCACTGTTCTGATCATAAAAAATTTCCCAATTCTCAAACCCATTAGCACGCAAAACCCCCTACTATGTAAGAAACATCCCAAACAAATTGATTTACTTGATTTTTTACATTTATTTGCTTGATTTACTTGATTTTATATTTAAATATTGATTTGTATATCATAAATAAATATCATCATAAACCGTTAATTTCAGAGACAGCTAGCAAAAGCAGTGGATATCTTCCTCATTTATCTGCTAAGAGCACTGACACAGCAGTAGCTAAAATTTGTTTTGACACAGCAGTAGCCTTCAACATTGATCCAGGTAATTCTATCTAAACATTGATACTTTATATTTGTATATTGAAATGCCTTATATTTATATTTGTACATTGAGACTTTGATTATTCTTTCACTTTTTAGTTATACAATTGAATTTAAAATATATCATAACATAGAATTTTAATTTGTATTTTATAAATATAGATGGATGCTATGAGAGACATGCGTAGGAAGGCCATTGCTCATGTAATATGCTTAGTTGTTTATTGGTGGTTTCTTCGAAATCGACCAAAAAAGAAGCTTCTTGATGATAATATAATTAATGAGAGAGAACGAGTTCAAGATGAAATAATGAACAAAATTGTGGGGAGTGATAGAAGCCGTTATATCATAGGGATGGGTCTTAGAGTTTTTTTACAATTCTGTGATATACTTGAAAGGGAAGGAGGTCTCCAACACACAAGGAGAGCAACTATGGAGGAACAAGTAGCTAAAACTCTTTATATTCTAGCTAAAAATGCCAAAAACGGTTCAATCCAATTTTGGTTTCGACATTCTGGAGAAACTACTAGTCGACATTTTCATAGTGTGTTGAGAACTATAATAGCAGTTGAAGAAAAATTTATTAAATAACCAGATGGTTCACAAATCCCTGTAGAGATAATGTCAAGTAGTAGATTCTACCCATACTTTAAGGATTGTGTAGGTGCAATTGATGGAACACACATTCGTGTAAAAGTCTCACCCTTAGATGCCCCTAAATATCGTGGTAGAAAAGAGTATCCAACCCAAAATGTCTTAGTTGGCTGTACATTTGACTTAAAGTTCACTTATGTGTTAACAGGATGGGAAGGGACTGCCTCAAATTCTAGAATTATTAAGGATGTATTAAAAAGAGAAGATAAGCTTATCATTCCAGAGGGAAAATTTTACCTTGTTGATGCTGGGTTTATGCTAAAAAGTGGCCCTATAACTCCTTATAGAGGAGTTCGCTACCATCTCAAAGAATATTCAAATAATCCTCTTCAAAATGCTAAAAAATTTGGTGTTTTGAAAAGAAGATTTGAGATTTTAAGGGGCGGAACAGAATCATTCTATGGAGTGAGAACTCAAAATTTAATTATTTTAGCTTGCTGCATTATTCACAATTTCTTAATGGGTGTGGATCCTAATGAAGAGCTTGTAGCTGAGGTAGATATGGAATTGAGAAATCAAGAAAATTTGCAACAAACTCGTACTTCAAGAGAGGAAGAAGAAGATGCTAGTAGGGGGGAAATGTTGAGAGATGTTATTGCTGCTGATGTGGCACAATTACAAAAATTGCTAGTTTACTTTTTGGTTTTTTAGATTTTTCTTTTTGTAATTTTTTTTTGTTCTTTTGACTTGAATTAATATTTTTGTTCTTGAATTATTTACTTTTATTTTTTTAATGTTATAAATAATAAATGTTCTTTATTATAAATTTTTATTGAATAAAGTTATCTAATAACTTCTTTTATTTAGGTATGGGTGGAAAGAAGAAAAATAGTAATATTGAAAATGCAAGTGAAGAAAGCAAATTAGTATGGACACCTATAATGGATGAGGCTCTTATGGATGCTTTCCTACATCAACATAATTTGGGCAATAGGGTAAATGGTTCCTTTACCACCAAAGCATTTGAAAATATTGTTAATGAATTGAAAGAAAAACTTGGGAAGGAGGTTGACAAAGATAAAGTTAAAAATTGCATGAAAACTTTAAAGGCAAACCTTTCAAAATCCCATGATTTATTCAAAAACCTTAGTGGTTTTTCATGGAGCCCTATTACCAAGCTATGGAGTGCCGAGCCTGAAGTTTGGAATGCATTAATAAAGGTATAATTTTAATTTTAATTTCTTTGCTATGATTTTGCTTGACTTAAATTATTTACTTTTATTTTAAAATATTGATGATTTGTAGGTTAATAATAATGCTAAAGAGTGGATGACAAAACCAGTGTTGCGTTATGATACATTTGTGATACTATTTGGAAATGATCGAGTTACAGGTGAAAAGTCAAAGATTGCAAAAAAATTAAAGAAAAAGCAATCATCCCAACATGATAATGAGCCTCAAAATACCATTGAGGAAATTGATCATATGGTGTCACAGAATCAGGTATCTTTAGATGGTTTTGAAACTAATGATGTTGATTTTGATCCTTTAACATGTCTTGGAGGTCCTTCAAATGTGCCAACTAGCTCAAAATCGAAAAAAATAAAGAAGTCACAAGAAATTGAAAATGAAGCAATGGCATTCAAGAAGCTTTCAACAATGTAGCTCGAGCTCTATCTGAAGGGAATTCACGTCCTCCAATTTCAGAGGCTGAAGTTTGGAATATGTTGGAGGATTTTGGACTTAACTCAGATCAAATTACCACTGCTTATTTATATCTGCTTGAGCATCCAGATAAATTAAGAGCAGTATTAGGATGTCCACCTAGGAGACGCCTAAATATTGTTATGAGGGTTGTTTTTGGTACTTCTTAATCATCAAGTTCTTGGGCACAATCCGTAGCTTTATTTTTTAAATTTGACTAATTTAATTTGCATCAATTGGAATTTATGTTTGAATAATTTTTTAGGGTTTGATTTTGATTAGTTATTTTATTTTATTATTTATTGGTATCATTGAGACTATATTGTAATAAAATTATTTTTTTATTTTTAAAATAATTTTTTATTGATTGTTTCATTTAATATTTATTTGTTAAATTTTTAATTTTATTTTTTTTTAATCAATAATTTTTTTCCTCTAATTTGCATTTATCAATTTTTTAATCTAAAGTCATATTATGACCCAAAAAAAAACACATGGTAAGGTACTGAGCTTCTCTTGTGCTTGGTTTCGATGGATAATGGAATGATTTAATGAATTAAACAAATTGGCAGCAAGTAAAAATGGATAGGCAACCCCATTACAAATTTAAAGGGTAAATTTATAAATTTAAAATTAATTTAAATCATTCCCTTCCTTCCCTTCCTTTTACCTTAATTATCCAAACATAAAATAATACAATCCTTCCCTTCCCTTCCCTTCCCCTTCCTCATTTTTATTTATTCAAAAAAAATTAACATAAATCATTTCCTTTCATTTTATTCCCTTCCCTTTCTTTTCCTCCATTTCCTTTTATTTTCCTCCATCCCCCTCCCTTCCCTTCCCTTTACTATTTTCTATCCAAACAAGGCGTTAGCGTTTAGAAATGTGTTTTCACTATGGAATGGAATGTGTGTTTCTTTCTTCTTCTTTTTTTTCTTTTTTTTTTTTGGCAGTCTAATATTGAAATTATTAAAATATTTTTAATAAAATTG